AAATGAGGCTTGACCAAAACTGACTTATGAAAAAATCACTGTGACCAGAGATAATCTTCCCAGGCGATGCCTCTGGAAGCCCTAACTCAGAGTCAGTTGCTGGATTTTCACCTTGCGAGAAAAATGTTTACTAGAAAAGCTATGTCCAGTGGAGCTTTTTCCCATTTTTTACTGGGTACCCCCTCGTACTTAGTAGTCTATGTATGCCCTGCAATAGGACCCTTCAGTTTGTTCCAGCCTTTTCATTGATGATCCTGATAGCTCTGGAGTTTACATTTAGGTCTTTAATCCACCTTGAGTTCATTTTTGAGCATGGGGAGAGGTATGGCTCTTGGTTTATTCTTCTGCATATGAAAATCCAATGTCCAACAGAAAAAAGTTCTAAATTTGCATGATCAATCATCTCCTTGTAAACAGTGTTCCCAAGATCTTCATGCTTGAAATAGTAAATAATCATAGAATTTTTTAGGCTGGGAGAAAACTTGAAGGGTAAGAGACTTGCTTAAGATAGAGTCCAGAGTGGCTGAGCCCCAATACTTGTCCTCATGAAGGAAATACAGAAGATACGGGTGCTACAGCAAAATGTGGTGAAAACAGTAGATGGTTCCCAGTTATCAACTGGAATAGTGTCTGGGGTTTTAAAAGCTTGTTTTCAAACAAGCAGCCCTCTAAGTGAGTTGTCAACTAAACCCATACGGAAGGAGCACACTAACATGTATGCTCTAAGGATTATGAATAATGTCCAAATCCAAAGGAGGGAATGATATCAGAGCTTAAATTGTGAAATTCTGCTTTGCAGAAGGCTATGGATGACAGTGGAAGCCCAAAATACGTTTGCTGAAACTCCACATAGAATAACCCTCCGATGATTTCCCTCTGGCCATAATTGAGGGATGTGCATAACCTGGTTATCAGACAGAGAATATTGTAGAGACAAGTATAGTAGATTAGAATGACACCTCTGACTTGAATGGTTAAAACCGTGTCATTGATCTTTTTTTGATATGCTTTGATCTTGATCTGATTTTTAATATTTTCTGCTTTTTTTCTTTTTCAAAATGGGGGTTTATCTCTGTTGTATTTTGGTGTTGTTGGTATCCTCCCTAACTATTGTGTATTGCACCATGTTGTTCAGTATATGAAACCTAGAAGGATGAGTCTATAGAGACAAAAACTAGTTAAGGTTCCTGGGGGGTATGGCAGGGGAGGTGAAGGGGAGTGGGTTAGTGGGGAGCTGACATCAAGGTGTACACAAAGGAAAAACTGTTTTAAAATTGATTGTGGTAGTGACTGTACAACACTGCTTGATATGAATGAACTATTGAATGGTATAATGTCTGGATTATGTCCTAATAAAATGATTTGGAAAAAATAAAAAGAGTGGCTGAGTCCAAGGTCCCAAACTCCATGATCACACCTCCTCCTACTAACCCTTGAACTTATAACAAGGAAACCAAGACTGAGAGAGGAAGGCGATAGCTCCTGACTCCTGTGATTGAAGAAAAGAAGCTAGCTTATAAGAAGAAGAGCGTGGCCTCAGAATTGGAGGAAAGCTTATTAACAATCTGTGATATGCAAATGACTTGACCTTGCCTGGTGAGAGCAAAGAGGACTTGAAGCACTTGCTGATGAGGACCTAGGGTTTCTGCCTTCAGTTTGGAAGACATCTCTATGCAAACAAAAATCTGCACAACGGCATCATGATAAATAGAAACAGACTGAAGTTGTCAAGGATTTTATGTTGCTAGGATCAAAATTAATGCTCAAGGAAGCAGCAGTCAGGAGATCAAAAGATCTGTTTGCATTAAGTAAATCTGCTAAGCAAAACTTTTTTTACAGTATTAAAAAGCAAGGATGTTTCTTTGAAGACTAAGGTGTGCTTCACCCATGCCATGGTATTTTCAATGGCCTCTGACACATGTGAAAGTTTGGCATTGAAGAAAGACTGAAGAAGAATTGATTATGTGAAATGCGGTCCTAGAGAAGGGTATGGAATGTCCCATGGACTGCTAAGAGTACAAATAAGTCTGTCTTGGAAGAAGTATGGCCAGGGTGTTCCTTACAGGTAAGGATGGGGAGACTTCGTCTCACGTACTTTGGACATGCTTTCAGGAGAGACCAGTCCCTGGAGAAGGACATCATGTTTGGTAAAGTAAAGGGGCAGTGTAAAAGAGGAAGGCCCTCAAGGAGATGGATTGAGACAGTGGCTGCAATAATTGGCTCAACAAACTGACCCTCCTCACTGGAAGTGTGTGTGGCAGAGAGCAGGTTGGGAAGAGGGGCCAGCATGCCATAGGGAGGCAGGCCTGGCGGGAAGAAGAGAAAGAGCGTCAGACTGGGCCCCATGCTGGCATATGGTGCTCAGAGGATGATGTCCCTGCTGGGAGTTAGTGGGACACAGAGGGCAATGGGCAGAGGGCAATGGGCAAACGACAAGAGCACGTGTCATGCTGTCCCTTTACTGAAGCAGACTGTGACAGAAGACATTTCTGGGATCACATGGTGGGGAAGCAGTGTGGTCTGAACCCCCCCAAATGGAGCGAATCAAGAAGGGAGCATACCTGGATAAACAATCTGGAGGAGAAATCAACCAGACTGACTGTTCTGGGGACATGGGAGAGTGGGGTGTGTGTGTGTTAGGAAGTGGTGTTAACAAACTCATGGACAAGGGAACAACAAGTGCTCCAAATTCCATGGTGAGGAGGGTGTAGGAGGCCTGGT